TAGCTTGAGTTAGCTCCTGCCTCTAATAGCTTGAGTTAGCTCCTGCCTCTAATTAGCTTTAGTTAGCTCCTGCCTCTAATTGACCCCAGGATGTATGGCAACAGGTGTATGGAAATCCCGAGGACATTACAAGGGTTAATTAGCTTGACTTAGCTCCTGCCTTTAATTAGCTTGACTTAGCTCCTGCCTTGTGAACAAGAAACGTAGAAGTCGCAGGAGAACATTAATGCACAGTCTTAAAAAACTGTCTTGTCTTGTTATAAAATCGTTCAAAAAGCATCTTTAGCCTAAGGTTTAGTTACCAAAAAGCATCAAAATGCTAACAGGACAGTCTCACCTGTCGGTAGCTGCGAGAGGCCGAACCTTCTCTCTCCGCGCGCCTCTACCTAGCAGGACTTGCTAACGATACAAATTCAGTTGCCAAAGCAAAAAACAAAACAAACAACAACAAAACAAACCAAGAACTTTAAATTCGAAGAAGCCGAAAGCCGTTTTAGTCAGCTGCGTAGCTAATAAACTGTTACTCCTTACCTTGACACTGGTCCCACAACAACAAAGCAGAAGAAGCACCGCACGTACAGGTGGGGCGCAGAGCACTTTGTCCCACCCACGTACCGAAACTGTCCACCACAGTTTGATTTACAAAAAGCCAAAATACGTTTTTCCAGTTTTGTCATTTTGAGACTCACAAGACGAATGGATGGGTTCATAGAGTAGAATAAAATGCCTTTTATTGTCACTATTCACTGTACAGTGAGATACAGAGCATCCCCACTCAGTGCAGACGTGTGGGAAGAGAAAGGGCGGTGAGGTGCACGGCTCTGCAGCATATGAACCCTATTCAAAAATATAAAATGTAAAAATATACAAATAAATCGTCTTATATATTTACAGTGTGGGTTATCACACGTAAATTACGCGGTGGTAGTCTGTGTATAGAGCGAAGTCCTTGGATTGGTGAGTGGATGTGTTGTCAGTCCATGTGGGAGTTCAGGGTGGTTTTGGCTTTGAGTCTGATGCACCTGAGGGAAGCAGGTTGAACAGGTCAAAACCAACCATTCAGCCTGAAACCCAAAGCAATGCTGGACAAAGCAGAACGTGGATGACAACAGTTTTTACGGCTTGTGTGTTTAAAATGAGAGACCACGAGGATACGAAGATTCCGTGTTTTATCCTCACTGTGTTTACTTTGTCAGGAGTGTGACTCCCTCACCTCAAACTGCCTCTCATTTACTCTGCAGCTATCTGGTCACTCTTGTAGCCAGCTATATCTTCTTTGACCCGTCCCATCCTGGCAACAAACTGTTCCAACTTCTGCAATCTGGTAGAAGGTTCCGCATCTTCCGGGCAAGGATAGAGAGACTCAAGAGGGCCACGCAATTAGGTTTGAGTTTAATTAAGCACAAGTCAGGGAGGTTACAGCATGTCTTTTCCTTTCCAAACAAAGAAAGCTCTTTCAGACCTGCGTCTGCACATTCCTGTATAAGACACTCAGTGTGAGCTTCACTGGGATAATTAGTCCAAACAGTGAAAACCTCACTTCTGTATTCCACATATCTCCGTGGGGTGTTGACTCTGCCACAGAAGAGACGTAACCTAAACAAGTTTCCATTTGCATGCATGTGGTTAAATATTAACAGCATTAAATTCAGCTTTACACTGCAGGCCACACATTAATTAGTGGAGTCTTAGTGGTCCATAAACAAACATGTAACATGTATAGAAAAAATTTCTTTTATCTTTTTTATCTCCAGAGGAAAATGTGTGGATTTAAAAAAGTCAAACCCTTGATGCTGCATCAGTTTTATCATTTTATAACTTGAATAGAATTTTTGCTAAAGCATTTGTTCTTATTTATGTTTTTCAAGTTGTTATTTTTGTAGTTTATCTCGAATTAATTTCATTCTTGCTGCTGTAACATGTGAAATATGTCTGCCTATGTCTGTCTTTAATGGGCCCTCTATGGAAAAAAGGGAGATAAAAGGGAGAGTTGGATGGTCTTACTGGCAAAGCAAAGGTTTACTGGTATACAATTTAAAAAAGAGTGTGGTAAGGACACCCCTCACTGTTGTCCTGTACTCCCACGCTCCCAGCTTTAATTACAGGGACAGACTCTGTCCCATCTCCACAGTAGACAGCAGTACTACTGATCAGTCATCCAGCGAGAGGGGAAGCATCTCCCAGTAATCACAAAATTTATTTTTCTTTAACCTGGAAAAAGAGAAAACAAGGAAGAAATCCCTCCAATTTTTCTGCAGAGCATGCAGCCAGCATGGAGAAGTCCTCCAATCACCCACCAAGATCCAGAATGACGGCCAGGAAGGAGAGGGACAGGGGAGCCTCAGAGGCTCCAAGGAGGAATCCTCAGAGGAAGCCGAAGGTGGAGCAGCTCTCTGAAGCATCATCGGTGAGGAAAGAGAAGCTGGGGACGCATGTGGGGAAGATGGAGCAAGAGACAGAAGTGAAGGTGAAATCAACGGTGGTGGATATAGACAGTGTGAGAGATAATGAAGTCAAGGATGAGAATGTGGGGCTCCTGGAAGCAGCAGAGCAGGATGACAGTGAGTCAAAGTGTTTTTATTTTTTAAATATATGTTTTTCATATCTGAAAGTGTGATGAGACGTCTTCATGAAAGACTGCTGATCTTTTCAGGTCTGAAGCATAAGAAGCTGGGAGTCTGTGAGTGGCTGCTGATGGTCTTTGTCTTGGCTCTGGTTCTCCTCTTCTTCCCTCTTTCCATCTGGTTCTGCGTCAAAGTACGGACTAAACCTCTGATCCTACAAAGATCTGACATGTCTTTAGAAGATAGGCTGACCGCTTTGTGTTGAATATCAAACTGACACTTGAGCAACCACATGTTGATTCACAGGTAGTGAGGGAACACGAAAGAGCTGTGATCTTCAGACTGGGTCACCTACTGCGTGGGAAACCCAGAGGACCAGGTCGGCCCAGATTTCATTCTTATTTTTATTTATACTTTATTTTTATCTATTTATGGAAAGATCAACATGCAAGGAGTGGAGGTAGTAAGGGAGTGAATTTAAATACCTGGGCTTTACCATTCAAAGCAACGGGCAGTGCACAAGAGAAATGGAGACAAGAGAGCGGACGGTGGATAGGTGGTGATGAGTTTAATGGTTAGAAGACCGCAGTGAGACGATGGCGCTGACAAGACGACAAGAGGTGGAGCTGAGGATGCTAAGATTTTCATTAGGAGCTACCAGGAAGGATAAGATTAGAAATGTGTGCTTCCAGACAGCAGCCTGTGTGAGGGTCGATAACGTATTATGAATCGCAGCTCATGAGAAGCCTCACTACTGTGACACCCACTGTCCCCTGTGTCTTTCTTCCTCTTCAGGCCTTTTTTTCCATCTCCCACTTCTCGACGTGTGTCACAAAGTTGACATCCGACTGAAGATGTTGAAGGTTCCTCCTCACGTGGTACAGAAATAGACACGCACTGCATCACATATTTAAATATTCCCGTTTGGAATCGCGACGTGTGTGTTCTCATATGTTTGTACGCAGGTGGTGACAAAGGACTTGGTGAGGCCGGAGCTGAGCGCGGTGTGTTATTACCAGATAGAGAACGTGGCACTGTGCAGCTCAGCTGTATCCAGTCTGACCGCAGTGCTGCAGAGTCTGGTCCAGGCTGCAGTCAGAGACGTTCTGGCCCAGCAAACATTCAGCCACGTCCTGCTGCACAGGCGGAAGATCGGGGAGCAGATACAAGCGACGGTCGACTCCTTCGCTTGTCGCTGGGGCGTCAGGGTGGAGAGGGCAGACATGTAAGACCAACATCATTTCTCCTTCCTCTGTAATTCATCTTTTTTTAAATGCACCTCCTTCACTGCCAACGTTCATTAACTGGAAGTCAAGGCTGAGCCAAAGCAAAGCAGCTTTAGCTTTATTTTGGCAGAATCTAAAGAAATACTAACTTGCACAATGAAAACGCATCACTTGTTGGAAGAGCACGGCTGACCAGGCTGGGTTGCGCTTGTGTTGTCAGAGACGAGCTCAGTTTTCCTGCGGAGCTGCAGCAGAGCCTGGCTGCCGCTGCCGAGGCCAAGAGACAGCAGCAGATCAAAGTAAGTGCTCACATCGGTTTCTGTAAAACAGCAACTTTGAACCTGTGTGCTCCAAACTTCTGTCTCTACTCTCCACAACATTAGCGATGAAAACATCCACGAGCCGTTCTCTTCTACAGGTGAAGGCAGCAGAAAGTGAGATGGCTGCCTGGGATGGATTTCGGGCTTCCCTCCGTCACCTTCAACCTGCCTTGGTCCTGCCTTTCCCTCCGAGCCTCAACCCCGACGTGTCACCCCTACCTCCCCCTCCTCCCCCGTGCGTGGAGGGGGACGGCGGGGTGTCACCTGAGGAGCCAGACACAGACTCGCCAATGATGTGAAGCTTTATTCATGTTAAACTCAGGTGAACTCTTGCTGCATTTAAACTGGTGATTTCCATGTGTAGAAAAGAAAGAGGCAAACACAGCATAAAGGAACATAAAGGAACATAAAGGAACATAGCTTTTAGTCCTCAAATGTGTTCTTTAATGTCTTAACTGCAAATAATCAAACTGTAAAATGTGCAATCAAATCCGAGTTCAGTCAGTACAACAAAGGAGTGTTACTTCATGCAACAGGAAACACACAAATCTTTATTTTCAGAAGGATGCAGAAATAAATGTGCCTTCATCCACACTTGAAACACATATCATAGGATTAAACTAAGCCACAGGAAGCCTCTAAATGATATCAAGTGTTATTTGTCTTCTTCATGTAGTCCTGGGGTGTCCAACTCGGGGCCTCGAGGGCCGGTGTCCTGCAGGTTTTAGATCTCAACCTGGGTCGACACACCTGAATCACAGGATGAGTTTATTAGCAGGCCTCTGGAGAACTTCAAGACATGTTGAGGAGGTCATTTAGACATTTAAATCAGCTGTGTTGCATCAAGGACCAATCTAAAACCTGCAGGACTCCGGCCCTCGAGGCCTGGAGTTGGACACCCCGATCATCAGCCTGGGAATAAACACTCAAAAACTGGGTACCATTGATGGTCAGTGATGTTTTTATGTGTCTGTTAAACTTCCCTCCTGTTCACATGTAAACCAAAAAAGTATTTAACACTGGTTAAAACAAATAAACAGAGACGTCCGATGGTCCGATCAGCATTTCTTGGTCTTTCTGCCGCTGCTCGTTGGTTTGACTGCGGTTGCCGTTTTCTTCGGAGGAGTTGGTGTTGTTTCTGGCTGCGGTGAAGGCGGCGGTGTTTTGTTTTTTTCTGAAACATAAACCAGTAAAGACATGAACCACCTCGATGCGTATGTGCTGTGTCATGTCTGGTTTTATCAGCTGGTTAATCTGCACCTTCAGTACTGTGGGGCTCCACACTGGGGCGACCCTGCAGTTGTCTCTCCAGGTCTTTAATCTTCTTCAGTGCTTCCTGCAGAGCCTCCTCGGCTTTGAGGGCTCGCTTCTCCGCAATCTGCACTCGCACCTCAGAATCACTAAAGAGGGGCGGTAAGGGGAAGTAAGCCGATGGATGGATGCATGTTTTATAGTTTATAGCAATAGTTTAAAGTAGTGCTTTGGAGCCAGATTTTTATAATTATTATTATAATTGTGTTTAACCAGATACTTTACACTTCAACAGGGCCTGAACTCTCTCGGGAAAGCTTTCTTTTCATTTCTGAGCAGTTCAGGAATAGTTGTGTGGGACTCCTGGACTTTTACAGAGTATCGTGTGCATTTATAAGAAAACAGCAGAGAGAGGTTACAATGAAGAAGACTAATTCCTGAAAATAAAGACTATTTTCAGGAATATCCATGTAATATAATTCATCCAAACATTATTTAGAAAATGAACTCACTGCAGTTCTTGCTGCAGTAATCCTACTGTGGTCAGATCCTTGAAAGCTTTCTGGTTATCGTCTGTCACCGGAGACACGACCAGCTCGCCCGTCTGACAGACACAGAGGTGGTTACAGGTACAGACACACGGGCTGTTCAGCTCAATGCAAACTGACAACAACATAAAAATGTATACTTCAATTGTCTGACCCTGTCTAGCTGGACACTGCACGCTCCAAGCTTCCTTTGTGCAACGTTTCCATCATAATTGATCAGATTCAGCACAGCGCTCTCACAAACAGTTTGCTCCCCCTACAGGACGAAAACAACATTTTTAGTCATCCTGTTTAACACGATTCTATTATAACCTCCTAGGACCTGCGTCCACATGTGTGGACATCACATTTTGGGTTATTTAGACCAAAATACTCAATTTTGCTCTACATGGGCCTGATATCCACTTACGAGGACATTATACTGCTACTGTTCTATCAACGTTTTAAATGAATATCCTCATATGTGGCTCTTATTCTTCTTAAAAAAAAATAAGGTAAGAAAAATCTGGTAATTCTTTGTTTTTACATTCATCGGGCCCCAATCAGCCCAAATATCAAAGAAAAATTAAAAATGCATGTCGTGGAAGAGTTCAGGTCTCAGGAGGTTAAAGGTTCGTAAAACTCCTTAAATTCCACAAGTGTCAATTTAATTCACTCATTTTGTGTCACACAAAGCTCCATAATCTTGCTATTAACGCTCCAGTTGACAAAACTCTTATGTTTCGTGTCTTTCAGCAGCCAAG